GGACTGTGTTACGAAGAAGTTTCACATAATTAAGAAAGCCATGGCTGAGGAGAAACAGAAATTCAAGAATATGGAGGCACTTGCAAGGAGATTGGATTGTGACTTGCAACAAGGCATACCACGTGACCTCCACCTAACCCAGCAACTTAATCAGATTTTATTTTGCAGAGTGAGATATGGGAAAAACAATCTCAGCATCTTCCCAGATCACCACTCAGAGGAGGAGTTAGAAAAGGTCAATAGCCTTCAGACTGCTGAAGGCTGAGGTTATGTATAAGCCAAAGAAATAGAAATATCCATAGGAACCTGCATGGACCAGGACAAAGTTATTGGGTTTTAATCTTTCTTCTCTCTTTCTCTCACCTCGCTTGTGTTTTATCTACTTTGTGAGATATTCCTATTATTAGCTGATATGGATAAATGGTAATCAACTCAAGTACATCCCTCCCTTGATTAATCAATGTTTTTGTACCATTGCTAATGTTAATGGATGGGATTTGGGTTATTGGATGCCTAACTAGTTGGTAATTCAGTTTTGAAGTTCCCCAGCTTTGTACCAACTTTTTTTCCACAGCCACATTGGGAATGAACTTGACTTTGCTCAACAAACTTCTGCTTCACTAGGAACCCACCAAGCATTGGGACATCTTGTAGAATAGGAAAATGAGACACGAATCAAAGTGCAACATGACCATCCAGATTTTCTGGCACTTTTCCATGAAATAGCAAGTATAGATTAATACCCTTTGTGGGACTCTCTTTTACAGTTTAGCCCTACTGCTGAGGAAGTAATACAACTGATGATTCATCCAACTGTGATAATAATGGGAATACACGTAATTGTCATAGGAGTTACTGTTTGGAGTGTGTTGGGGGAACAGACACTGGCCAATAAAACAATCCAGAAAAAATGTATTGCTGTTGTTACTATGAATATGCAGGAAAGAAAAAAATGTTGGTCTCATAATAGTGATGTGGGGAATAATTATGGCTACAGTACAATATTGCAAGCAACAAGTAAAGTATAGTATAGGTCACTGATCAGCATAGATTTCACTGGAACATGTGTGCAATATCACAGTTGTGTTTGACAATTGGCTATCCAGAGGGGAGGGGGCGGGGGGACTGTTGGAAGGCAGCTTTGAACATACAGAAACCAAGGGCTAGCTGATCCAGAGAAGCTCCATCTATGAACTGAATGAAATGTAACTTCTCTGAAAGCTTGCCCAGCAAATAAACTTTTCTAGGGATCATGTTAGATATGGAGCTTAATGAACTATATGATGAATGCAGTCTGCTGCAGTCTATACAGTCCATCAGAATGCACAGGTCCAAAGTCCCCTTCCAACAGTGGATGGTTGACAAAAATCATTAACCAATGACTACTGCTCAAGAGAAACTGAATTAAGGCTACTGTGATGCATGAAACGCTGTGCAATAATAAACTGCTTGGTTTCATGAGATACTTTGTTGTTTTGGTGCTTCTCAGTGTATAGCTGTGACAGAAACAGCCTTCTGAAATCAGAACATTAAAAATAAGGCAGTCAGGGCAAGTGAGATCAGGAAGACACACTGAAGGTGCAAGCCCAGAAATATGATTTTATTCTTAGCAAATCAGCAGCACCTGCATGAGAAACAAGAATATGCAATATGGAGCAAGAGAGAGAGATCCACTTCACATAGCAGCAGCAGCAGCAGCAGCAGCAGCAGTATTGGCACCTGTTCTTTCAAGCTGTATGGTAGACACATACAAACGTACCATGAAATATTCCCAAGCGAGACAGAAAAGGAAGCTTCTCTTTATTTTCCTTTTGAGTCTCACTCTCAACAGGAAGAATTTCAATCAGTGACCTTCTTCAACAGGAAGAATGTTAACTACTTTTGCCATCTCCTTAGGACATTTCAAGGCATCCTTCTTCCACATAGCTCCATAGAATATACAGAAAATATTCAGACATGATGCTAGTCAAGGTGGTTTGGCAATATCATCTCCATTTGTTTCTATTACATCTGACATACACACACCCATCAAGGTTTTCCATGAAGGATACCTTCTTCCATCATACAAGGATACCTAATTCAAAAGGCCAGGTAATCCTCTAAAAAGCTCAGAAAAAGTGACAAGCCATTTAACACATCTATCTGAGATAAGATGGATCAGTTTTCAATAACCTGGGGCTCCTCAAATTTGTGGATTGCAACTCCTATCATCATCAGTCACTATTGCAATTGTTAGCTTGAAGTGATGGGAAATCTGGAGTGAATAAGTTGGAAAAAACTGGAATAGGTAGCAAGATCTTTATCACATACATGTGGCTAGCCATTATCATAAGCAAGTAACAACAACATTCTAGGATTTGGTGAAATCATAGCATGCATTGAACCAATACCGCACTGCAAATGCCATAGAACATTTATGAGACCTGAACTATCATGGAAGTACCATGATATGCCCAAGTCCTTGGCAGTTAATGAAGACTTCAACTGACCTGAATAGTTAGCCACTGAGAATTTTTTAAACTAAATGTATGCATCCCTAACAAAGTTGCTAGAAATGTACTCCCTGATCATATTGAATGGATGTTTTCATAAATTTTCTTGTCTGCAAAATGGAAACAAAAAACCTACAAGCTAATGGTAAAACTTCTCTTCCTTTTCAAAAATATAAAGTCTATTTAGTTTCTTAGGTGACCCATCTTCCTTTTTCTTCCACTCTAATGGATAGAACTTTAGAATAGGAAGTATCTTAGAGTGAAGACTTTTATGTCTTAATGGTGCTAAGACATAGCTGGACATTTGTTGCTCCCTGAGCAGAGTGCTATCAGCAGGATGTAGGATGACAGGAGGCTTATAAAGTACTGAAACAATATCATAGCTAATGCTGAGATGCCTCTTCAGGCCTGGAGCTGGAAACTGGCCAGCCATGCTGCAGTATTCACAGTTGAGCAATAGTTTCAACTAAGTGTGTGCAAGTGTTTGAATTTTTTAGATTCTTTTTGTTGCTGTTGTTGTTCAGGTGAGGGGGTACAAAAAGCAAGTGGAAGAAGCAGAAATGTCCTAAAATTAGGCTAGGCATTGTAGCCCTGAAGTCAATGGTCTAAGAGTCCAGCTGAACAGGGAAACTGCAAACTGAATACATTAGTCATCACACCCTCATGGTGGTCTTTGGTTCTTCTCTAACTTTAGGTAGGCCTGCTGAGGTCAGAACTAGGAGCTGTTTGGGACTTCTAAACCATTCAAGGAAACAAGTGCTGGTCCTTATACAGAAGTGTCTGATGCAAGCCATATTGACACAAAGAATGACAAAACATGCATCATGACATCTCAGTCCAACCCCCTGATGCAAGTACATAAATCAAAGACATTGTACCAAGACATCATGCCACAGATTTCATCCCTTACCTCCATCCCCAGAGGAGGCAAAGATATTAAGCCTCACTAATTAAAGATGCTTCAGCAGAACAAAGATCAACATTTTTAACATGGAGAGTTATGAGCCATTAGCCATTTCCTGCTATTCATTCTACCCACCCCTCTAGGTTGGTGGACAGATAGTTGTTGCCAAGGATCTAGGAGTTCAGAAGACTTCATTGTTGATCCTGTGGATTCTTCTGCCTTTAGCAGCAGTCATTCATCTCATATAGGCTTCCCAAGAGGTTTCCTTCTTACTGTAAGTGGCACTAGTAATGCTCTGAATGGGAGCAGACCTGAACCTGGGCCTGACTCTAATCCATGCTGCCTATCTACCAAGCTCTGGGTAGTACATGTCTGGTAATACAACATGATGGGCAGGTGAGTGAAAGGTGCTGCTGAGACATGGTAGTATCAGCAGCACTGCAGATGTGGCTCTGCTTCTACCATGATCTGGGTCAGCCCAGTTTGTTGATAGGTGTGGAACCTCATTTTAATTTGAGAAGCCAGTGCTTCCCTTTATCACACACTTGGCAAGAGATTCCACTGAGTTTCATGGGGCCACAAAACCAGCCTACAGAGAACTGCAACCAATGTGCATTAGTCAACAGTTTGCTCATCCTGGAGGAATTTTTCCCAGATGGAAAGATTAGAGCTGATGAGAAAGATGTTCCAGTCAGATGAGAAAAGCTCATTGGGCCTTATTCTGAGTCATCCCTTGGAATTCTTTGGAGCTCCTGTTACCAGCAGAATCTTAGTGTGGGGCAGCGTCCTGAGGCTTGTACCCCTCTGAAATCATTTAAGCAAAAGGGCTGGGAGGATTCTCGCCATAACAGAGAATTGCTAAAGGAATGTTTGGTCTTTCTGGGGGAAAAAAATCATAGACGATGTTGCAAAATTATAGGAGGGAAAAAAACAAAAAAACAAAAAAACGTGGAGAACATAATAAACTAATAAATTGTCCAACAAATTTAATGGAAGCCTTCCTCAGAGATACAAAAATTCAAACTTCTCTCTCTTTCTCTCTTTTGATTTGGGTGTTGTTCTTCTTCTAGCTTCCAAGGGGGCAGAACTGAGCAAGTTTCAGGAGGGGGGCTTAAACTGTTTTGAACCTGGTAGTATAAAAACTTACTTGGATTGTTCTGTGCTTATCTCTAACATTTTAAATAATTTTAAAAATAGAACTTTGGGGAACAATTGATGTTTTGGGAATACATAATTTTTCTTTTTCTTCAAAGGGGAATTCATCATGTGTTGTGCAATTATTTGTTATAGTATTTGACCAATCCAGATCCCCTGCTATTAGTAAAAAACACTGAAGGGACTCAAGATTAAGCTCTTAAGCTTCATTTCCTTTCCTTTCTTCAACCGAGCTTGTCACTAAAATGCCTCTACACCATGGCATGTGGGGCACAATTCAAATCATAGTTATTATTGTGGCAAGAGGCAGCAACACAAAACCCTAAAAGAAATCATAGTGAAGTTGTTGGTCCAAACAGTGCAGTGAAGAGTAGCCATGGTGGAAAACCAACGTTGCAGTTGCAGAAAAAGACATTGGCTTGGAGAAAAAGGATCATCTAAATCTTGGGTTAGCTGATAATATTGAGTGCATCAATTAATGAGTGGAGCTCATCCCGCACATTTGCCAGGGAATGACAGATCTTCTGTGGGTTGTCCAATTGCTCAATACTATATGTGTAAGGATCATATTTCACAGAAAAAGGTCGCTTGATATGTGCTGCATAGACCCTAAAAAGAAGAGGATAAACATCAAAGTCAGTAACATAGATGGACTACTGCAATATTAAGAGATAAGGAAGCAGTGAAAGGCATATTGGGTAAACCAGCTTTCCTTAGCCTGGACCTTGAAGAACAACAAGGCCATTGATTATCTAGGAGTATAGCAGCTGTGTATAGTGCTGTCTAGGATTATGGGAATGAATCTGGGAACAAAGGGTAAATATTGTCAGTAGTCACTAGATATATAAGGTTCAACTAAATTCAATTTTTAGTCTAAAAATATACAAAATTCAGCTAAACCATCCCTGCACTTTGCCTAAATTTAAATACATTCTAAGCAAGCTGATGTTTCCACCATACTGTATATAAAATAGAAACAAACTTTCCATTTTTCTTTCAATAAATTGCACTACACATTTTTATTTCTTTCTACATTTTTTTGATTATACCACAGGGTTGTTGTTGTTTTTTTAACCTACATTATGCTTTGGTAATTTAAACACACAACAGGTCCCTTGTTTGCTGAAGGTCAGCCAATATCATCTATGACTGTAATATATTTGAATAGAGCCAAAAGCTACAGTCCAAAGTAGCTGGCCATTATGTGACCAAGGATGGAAGCCACTGAACTGGTGAAGGATATGAAACTAATTGTAAATAGCAAAAAAGCTATGAGCTGGAAGCTAAGCAGGTGCAGACTTTTAAGTCACACAGAAGTGACCAGGCTGAACTGGAAAACTCCTTTCTCTGCTAATCGCACACATACATATAGTTACAATCACTCTTATTGTGAAAAAAAACACCATGTTTTAGTTGGGATGATATTATATATCCTTTTCCCCCTTCATCTGGTGGAGCTTTAGCTATAACTGTTGGAGTTGTAGCCCACAGAACCTAATGTGGCAAGAAGGAATCTCTATAGGAGTCTAATAATTCCATATTATTTATGTTGTGGCACCATCTAGTGGCACTGGGAAATCACATGAAGTTGCCCAAAACACCAAGCAAATGCTAATCCCTTCTCTTCTGTTACTATGCAAATGCCTTTGATCCCTAATTGCTACTGATAGTTAGATTTATCTTTGGATGCTATGTGTAAATATTCTTTGAGAAGAAATGATGAGAATAGTCTGTGAAAAGTCTGGCTCCAATTATAGTGTTCCTTCACAAAATTCAGGCAGAGAGAAGCTGTAAGACCATATTACTTCTTACATACTAGTATGTGCAATTATAGCCCATCTGACTTCTCACCTGTCCATACATTTCACACATATACACTTCTCATCCCCCTCTTTTAAAAACATTGGTGGAAATGAGAATATATGGAAAATCACTTTCTTCCCTAACAATAAACTTCCTTGGACCTTTAATGAGATTCAGTGTATAATTTGTAACAGCAACCTACTTACAGTAAAAGCAAGTTCCCCTGAATCATTTGAGAAAAGTGTATTATTTGGATAGATGTAATCCCATAGAAACCCTGGTTAATGGGGATACCAGAATGGGGATTAAAAAAAAAAAAGATGTTAATTAGATGGCAACCAAGAGTTTTCTGTGACTCTTTGCTGTCATTCACATTATTGCTGTCCAGTTCTGTGACCCATTATAATGTAACCAGCAACCATCCCTGATAAAATGTGATAACCATATTGTAAACGTTTGAATATCTAGAAGATCATATCATTACAGTGATGCATAATAAGTTGACTAATTTTCATGATTTCTTAAGCACCTTTTTTGCCACCAAGGCTATTTAAGTCACTAGTTAGATATTGCTAGGGTCCTCTCATCAGCTGTTTCTAAGTGGACCAGGAGTTATTTCGGCCCAACTGGAAAGAACATTTCTCTTTGGGGAAGTAATTAATTACAATCTTATGCATACATACCTGTAAATGTTATTGAATGAAATAGACATGTAATGGATGTCATCGTTGCAAATATTTTCAAGGTCTTTTTAATATTTGTGTATATATTTATATTATGTTTTAATGTTCTAATTCATTTATGTTTGCCATCTTGATTATTTTGTTGGATGGAAAAATGAGTGATGGTAAAATTAACAAGGAAATAAACTAACAAATCAATCCTAAATGCATGTATATGTGGCAGATTAAATTCCATTTATTCCATATTTAGCGATGTTGTAATTTAGATTTCATTTTAACAAGCAACACTAAAAACATCCTTTTAAAGATTTGGGGGGGGGGGATTTTTATCTAATTATTTGGCTATGACGGAAATCATTCATAAATTATCTGTAGCAACCAGAACTCAACACTGGTGTAACTAGACATATGGATCCTCACTGTTCGATGATATGGCCAGCGATGACTCTTACCTGAGTTTAGCTTTAGCATCATTAAAGCTCTCTGATACGAAATAAACAGGCTGATAGGTCTGATCTTGATAGGGTTGCACAGCGGTAGCATCAGGGTCAAAGTCCCGTAGTTCAGGTTCATCTGACAGAGAGTGCTAAATGAAAGAGGGGAGGGAGAGAAAGCAGGAGAACCCCGTAATGCGATGACTTCAACAAGAGTAACTGGTCCGCAGAACAGGATCACCCAAGCTCAGAAGCAGCTGCTGTACTCTTTAATTTAGCTCAGTAGGGGTAGAGGAGGGCACCACTTACTATCAGCTCTCCATAGGAAGAGAGGAGGCCGGCTCCATAGGCTTTAATGATTCCATTTTGCTTGCAGAGCCCAAACTCCACCGTGAACCAATAAAGCTGCAGAGAAAAGTGAGATTGAAAAGATCCCATTGATTCAAAATGGTTAGGATTTTCTCATCTAAATTAGACAGATAAATGTGGGATTTTTATTGCATCTGTCCCTTTTGCATTGCATTTGGGAAGTTAACTGGAGGCTTTTCTAGGAAAAATGCATTTTTGTTGTTGTTGTTCTTAAAAGTCAGTCTCTGTTTTCTATTTGTCATGTTTATGCTGGAGTTTTAGAATGTTCTACTAATAATACTATCTTCTGTTCATGCCAGTCCTTATAATGAAAACCTATACCAGATTTTTCTTTCCCAATCTGGGCCTTGCCAGCTGTATTGGCTACAATTCCCAGAATTCCTGATTAGCATAGCCAACTAGCATTTAATATCAACACTTACAATCAATAGCAAAATCTAACAGAGGCAATTATATCTCTATTTGTGTATCCTAGAATTAAGGACTTACTGTTGCAAGTTTTTCAATCTCCTCATCAGTTGCCCCTAATGATGCAAGCCCAATTTCCTAGGAGCAAAAGGAAAACTATCATGTAGTTATTGTGTGTTTTTCCCCCTGACCATTATATGTTTGGTGTGCACAGCTCAAATTTTATGGATCACACAATAGGTACCAGTAGATCAGGTCAAGACTCTGCATATTACAACTTTCTAACCTCATCTCCTCCAAAGACATAGTAGAAGTCCCATAATTCACAGCCAGACTGGCAAATGGCTTCTAATTATAGAGTGGCAGTCTTCCTGTATACTGGGTAGGAAATTATAACCATGGCTGGTCAGGAAACAGCTGGCTGTGCTGCAGCCTAATTGATGAGATCTTGTTTAATCTGTATTTGTAAAAGCCCATCGTCTATTGATATTAACTCATGGGAAGTCTATAAATCAAAGTAAACTGAATACAGATGGGATCACATAGTTGATTGCCTGCTTGCAATCTTGAAATAGGTTATTTAGAGGTATTCTACTGCATATATGCCAAACTGTATTTACTTTTACAATTCTTGTAGTTGTTATCTCTATTTTGACATTTAGGAACCTCTGGAGTGCTGAGATTCTACTTGGGGTGCCCTGGATGCATTCATGTGGCTTTCATATGGGCACTACATTTTAAAACAATACAAATTGGACTCCATCCAAAGAAGGGAAACCTTGCAGCAGATAGAGCAGATTCATTTTCTGCTCTTGGACAAGAACAAATGGGTAGAAATGGTAAGAAAGGAGACTTTGACTAAACATGAAGGGAAAAAACTACCCAAGGAATGTTTAGGACAGAAGTAGGCAACATTTGAGGGGTTGGGGCACAGCTCTGCCTTCTGAGCTTCCAGAAATGCCAAGAGGCCATTTGGTGATGTAGCGATATCCCCTACAATGGTGGGGACTATTAGCACCTTTTTTGGGGAGGAAGGGGTTGCTCAGTAGAAATGGGAATGGAAATGACTCCCATCTCCATCTTGTCCATGCCCCAAATCACTTTTTTCGAAGTTGATGTTGCACCTTTTTTTGGCGCAGGAGTTTTGGGGACAGATGGGAGCAGCTCACATCCTTGAGACCTTTTGTCCCCTCCCCCATCCTTAACATTCTGAAAAACAGCTCCCTTTCAGCTGAAATCAGCTGGAAAATCAGCTATTTGGAATCATTTGAGTGGCTATAATACTAAAATTTTGATGGGGGGGAAATCTGAAAACCATAACAAAATTTGGTCATTTGGACACTGACACTCAACAATAAGCTGTCAGGCATGGGTGGGGAGCCATGAGGTGCCAGAGGACACATGTGACCTATGGGTTGCCTACTCGTGCCACAGGACGTGATAGCTTATCTATTTGGGTAGACACTTAAATGAAGAACCATTTCTCAAGGATGCCGTCATTGAAAAGGAGGTGATGAGTAATCTGAGGCCCAAAGTGCTCTTTTTAAAACAGCCTTTCAGTATGAGAAATGAAAGGTAGTAGGTTCATCAAACCTCACCCATGCTTAACCCACTAGTTAACAGTAAAAATCAAAATCCCCTTAGCCAACCTTACCACAGGAAAAAAAAAATCTGAAAACCTCTCTTTGACAATGCTATGTCCCTTATGTGTTTTGGCTGCTGAAAAAGTCATTTTAGAAAAGGGTGCTTCTTTGATCTGGGAGTGCCTTCTGGTTGAGTTGCATTTCCATTCCATAATCCCACCCAGCATGGCCAATGGCTGCTGTACTGGTTTTCTAGCAAAGAAGAGATTGTACCTTCAGCACAAGGTGATCCACCCTTTGCTCACCTGAGAGAATTGTGCAAATGTCTTGTCGGCCAACATTGGTACATGTCCCAGAAGTTCATGGCAGCAGTCCCTTTGGAAAGAAAAACAACCAGTTCTCCTCTGACTCTGAAACAGCAAGCCAGGCATTAAAGAAGCCAATCTTATGAGGCAGTACTCACGGCTCTGGAGAGTGCATGGGAGAAGAAGCATGGCGGATGTACTGTGTACACTGAAACACTCTGAAGGCTAAACTGGCTAAGAAGTCCCGGGCTGAGAGAAGGCCAGCTACCGGTCGGAGTTGGAACCCAGTTCTCTCTGAAACAACCCAAACCACCTTTTATATTTGGTTGTATCATTTAAGAAAGGATGAACATTAGGAGCTCTACTGGGTCTTATCAAAATATGGCTGTATATGCTTCAAATATGATTTGGGAGAAGTGCTCTGGAACTTGTACAAGGCCTAAAAAAAGTTGTGGCTGCTTTAAAGGTCACATTAACTTTAATGATTTGATTCTTTAAAACAGCCACAACTTTTTTCAAGGTGGGGGCAGGCTCTCCAGGAAACCTGAAAATAGTCAAGCTGCTTTAAGGGATACCAGATGGTAATGGGTGTTGAAACATTTCTTCTTAATCATTTTCAAAGCATAGACAATGCTACTTTTTAGTGCTGTACTCTGTGGCCACTCAGGTACACCCAGAGCTGAATTTTTTGGAGCTGTACAACTGGCCACAATTTAAAAGCAAAACAAAACCACCAATTATTCTTAAGTAGTTTGGGGACTAACTTATTAAATAGCTCAACCACCATAGAAATGAACAAACATAAGCTCTAGCTTGTCCATTTTTTATAAATATGGAACAAATCATACAGTTTGATATCATGTCTATAATCAATGTACTTATAAATACCTTCTCCTTTTTAATGTAGAATTATGATTGTCTTGTTTTACAAAAGAATACTTGCATTTACCACACATATTTCCTGTGAGTCTATTTTTAAGTTGTTTCTGTAAAGTAGTCTGAATATTTTGCTGTCTTCACAAGTGATCCAAGTTACATCGTTAACTACAGGTTTCTGATTTTTGAAAATAGTTTTAGGAAAATGTGGAACTTTCTGTAAATAATCTCTGCAGTCCAGGAAGCTCTTGAAATCATTAAGATTTGCAGAAGCCACTGATCTCCTGCAGGCATCATATTTGAAATGAGTTAGTTTTGGTTACTACTTAGAAGATCTCTTGACTGGGGGATGGCCAGATTAGTCTTTTTCTACTCTACATTAATTTTGCACATATTCTTTTGAAAGTCTTTTCTTTCTATAACCATATTATTATTAGGAAATACAGTATATTTCTAATAACGGAATCCTGTAATGTCTTCTTGGAAATCAACTGCATTGACTTATGGTGATTTGGGTCACCATAAATGTTTTAAGGATTATAGCCTAAATGTTTATCTTTTAAATAACAGATTTCTACATTTCCTCCTGAAGTGCAGTTTTAATAACCTATTTTGATAGGGCTTCTTGAGCAAAATCTGCATTACAAAAATTTGCAGAAATGCAAAATCCCAATGGATAATTGTTTTGATCCATACATTAGTCCAGAAGAGGGAGAGTAGATTAATTCTTCTCAGAATGTGCAAAGAATGGATTCCTCAAGCATCCTTTTTCTTTACATGGACAATAATCTTATGGAAGTTCTCCTCTACTGAGCATCTTCTATAGAAGCTTCCTATTGAACTCCCTCTTGCAGAGACCATAATTACCTTTTGATGTTTTTATGAACAATGAACTTTGCCAAACCTTGGCAGACTGTTTTCTCTAACTGGCCAAGGAGATGTGACATAGAACATTCTAGGGCAATTTCTTCTGAGTGCAAAACTTAAATTTAATGCTTATAAAGGGATAAATATCAAGAATGTGATGATGATTTAAAGAACAGTGTTTTACACTGACTTATAGCTTTTGTCCTGATAAAGAGTTGAATTCAAAATGTACCTAGCTATTTTTATCTGCAAACTATCTGTCGTTCTCCAGTCACCAGCTCTCTGGTTCCAGGGAACAGTGCTTCTAAGTTTTAAATGTGGTCCTACATATCTAGATCAGGGATGGGCACTCTTTGACTTGCAGACCACAAAGGCCCTTCAACCTTTTGGGAGCCCCCTAGAAGTACTGCTGAAATTGGGCAGCAAGTCTACTAAACTACAGAAATGCAAAGCTTCAAGTAGGGTTAATACTATAAAAATGTTCCAGTTCTCTAAACGTGACCACATACTTACCTTTCAGGAAGCGGGAGACATCCTCCAGTTGTGGGATATTGTTTTCACTGTAGCCACTATACCTCTCCAGTAAATGGAAGGCATCCAGGTGTTCTTTGCAGGCATGAGTGGGATAAAGACTCTTCAGTGTACTATACACTTCCCTCCTTCAAAAAAAAATAGGTAACCAGAGTATGTCCAGAGTGTTTGCATGGAGAAGGATAGTTACCTTAGAATCCTGCAATTTCTTTAGGATTAAGTTGATTTTTTTATTTTTTTATTTTGGGGGGGGTGCCTTTGAGTCAGTCTTGATTCCTGCAGACTGCCTGGACACATCCCTGCAGTTTTCTTGGCAAGATTTCAGAAGTTGGCAAGATTGCCTCCTTCCTAGGGCTGAGAGAGAGTGACTGGCCCAAGGTCACCCAGCTGGCTTTGTGCCTAAGGCAGGACTAGAACTTACAGTCTTCTGGTTTCTAGCCTGGTGCCTCAACCACTACAGCATCTGGAATAATATGTGATGCTTAAAAACATATATAAACGTAAGTAAAATACAGTGCAAATGCCTGGGGGAGAATCTTCTTCTGACCCAGAGTGACTGTGAGTCATCTGATACCTTAAAAATTCAGATGGAAATGGTGGGGCAGATACCTTATTAGAAAATGTAATTTGACTTTCCCAGAAGGATCTAAGAAAAGTTCTAGGAAAGGTTCCTTCACACTTACCAAGTGGTAATCTCCTCTGCTGTGTATTCAACTCGAGGAATTGGGTCTCCACTATTAGAAGAATATAAGGAACAGATATACAAAAATAACAATGTAGCAAATAGTACAGATCAACCCTGCAATGTTTAACTAAGTCTGATCCTTACCCAGTCATGCCTGAAATGTGGCCCAGAGCTACCACAATCTAAAAGATAAAACTTGATTTAAACAGAAGAGATATATCATAGTTAGAATCACAAAACTAATCAATGAATTAAAAAAAAACTTAGTTTGGATCTAATATGAGTACAACAATCATATGTCCTTTATTATGAAGGACAATTCTTTATTTCAGAAAGCTTTTAGATTTATTTAATTATTTATTTTCTTGGTTTTGCTCTTGAATTTTCCTTTGTAAAGCAAAGTTATAAACATAAACAATTACTTTTTTTTTTTTAATTTTCATGAACCTCTTTCAGATTTGCCCTTTTTTCAGGTTTGTCCTTTATTTTTTCCAAGAAAGTATGGTCACTGTAAAGATGAGTACTCATGTACATGGTAGACCAAGCTTTATCTGTTAGATCAGGGTTCCTCAACCTCAGGAACTTTAAGATGGGTGGACTTCAACTCCCAGAATTCCCCAGCCAGCCATTTTGAAACTAACCCTTTGAAACTTATTTTTAAAAGGATGGTTTGAATCATCATGACTGAAAACATAAATTTAGTTCCTCAACCTCAGGAACTTTAAGATGGGTGGACTTCAACTCCCAGAATTCCCCAGCCAGCCATTTTGAAACTAACCCTTTGAAACTTATTTTTAAAAGGATGGTTTGAATCATCATGACTGAAAACATAAATTTAGGGGCATAAACATTGTGTGTATAAATATATAAAAATAAAAAATAGTAACAGTGAAAAAAATATACAGGATTTTTTAAACCCATGTCATACAGACTAACCTAGACCATTCAGATAGTATGGAACATCTAGGTTAACGAAAAAGAACTGAACTATGCCTTGATGCATTCAAACCAAAGTACTGGTTGATTTATTACCCATTTGCTAAAGTCAATATCATTGATTTAGAATCTTACTCTTATCATGATTTCAGATGTAACACTGAAGATACAGACTTTGTTCCAAAGAACCATGCAATGAAATCTATTATATGCTATGGGTCTTTTGATTCATTCAGGATTATACCTGAATCATTGTTCATGAATCTACAGCACTTTACTTATAAAACGTCAAACATGGCATGGAGGGAAGAATGAAGAGATGCTCCCCGAGGAATGGAGGCGGGGGGAGGGGGAGAGAAGCTAGGTCTGTGCATCTGTGTATACTGAACTGTCTTAGGTGTGTCTATAAGAACTCTTTGGAACATGGCCTATCTTACTGAGTTAACAGCTGCCCAGCTCTAAAACTCATCTATCTACACCACTGCACATAATTAAACATCATTGAAGAACCTTAGTCCCCTGCTCATATTAAGTCTCTAATGTGATCTCTGGAGTTGTTGCAATGACTCCAGCTTTTCCCAATTTTATGCTTTTGTGAAATGTGTTCCACAACAACTTCCATTATCATAACTGCTATTGATAAGGCTGACTAAGAATTATGGGAGACTTATGGAGGACTCAAGGTTGAGAAAGGTTGGTAGATAAGTACCCGAGTAGATAACTACTTTATTAAAGTGCTGGGAAAATAATTGTTCAGAAGATATATTCAACAAACAGCAAAAGTGAATGTGAAAAGACATCTCAGTTTAAAATTACAAAGGCAATATATGACCACATTATTCTTAACTGCATGTACTGAATTTTCAGAAAGAAGTTGATTTATTTCATTCCACATGAAATTTAGCCACAAATCTGAATTTCTTTCAGCTCCAAGAAGAGAGTAACCAACACTCTAATTCAAATTTGCAGGACTAGGTTGCGGTAATTTGATTCCAGTTTGAATGTGTGAATTGATTGGCAGAAATAGTATCACAGAGCTGGCAAACATGGAACACTGGAAGCAGGATGGAAGAGTGTAAAAGAGAAGAAGTGATGAAGCGGGAGAGGGGAAAAAAGTAAAACTATGTTTAGAGGTGCCCATAGGTAACAGTAGGCAATATGGCAAGTCTTACTGCTTATAGTGGAAAGCAATTTCTGCAATCATTTTCCTTCGCTCACGATATACTTGGTCAGAGAATCCCTTGGAGAAAAGAAAAAGATTATCTCAGTTTTTCACTGAACCGTACTATTGATGACAGTGCCAAATTCTTATTAAAGGTTGTTCAAGATGAAGAACCAAGAGTTCATTCCCTGTACCGTTTGTTTGCTTGCTTGTTTTTGCAAAGGTGTATTTCACATGCCTTATATTAGATCCCATACATTTTTAAAATTAATCCAGTGTCCCTTATGCAAAACACTTTAACGTATGGCACATACTGTACATTGGAGTCCTTGGGGTTCTCTGAGCTTGGTTCTTTTCTTGCAAACGTTTCGTTACCCAGTTAGGTAACATCTTCAGTGCTAGAATGGGATGGGGTTTGCTCTCTGTTATATACTGTGGCATGCCCTGCCAGTGTTGGGGAGGGGGGTTCTGGTAGTACCTTGATTAGGGTATTGTTTACCGCTCGGTTGTATATATATTACCCAGATAAGCAGAGATTAACACCAAGATTAACACCAGACAAACAATCAAGCAGTAAACAATACCCTAATCAAGGAACCACCAGAACCCCCCTCCCCCCAACACTGGCAGGGCATGCCACAGTATATAAGCAGAGAGCAAACCCCATCCCATTCTAGCACTGAAGATGTTACCTAGCTGGGTAACGAAACGTTTGCAAGAAAAGAACCAAGCTCAGAGAACCCCAAGGACTCCACAGTTCAACCCTGAGCTACACATATTCTCTTCTATTGATACTAGACATTAAAGTATGAACCTTGAATGAATGAATATGGATTATTCATTTAGGCTTTCAGTCTGTTATATTGAGTAAGACTATAACCATTAAAAGAAGCTAAGCAATATGCTAAATAAAAATAAATAAAATCAAGATTTTTGCTAGAAATACAATAAACATAAGAATATAAAAATAAACCTGCTGATCAGGCCAATGTCCATTTTAGTCCAACACTTTATTTCTTGTTGTGGCCAGCCAGATATATCTGAAGTTCTTGCAAGCAGGAAATTGAAACATATTCCTCTTCCATCATTGTTCCCTTGCATTTAGAGGCATTATGTTCCTAAGTCGGAGATAACACTAAATCTTCAGGACTTCAAGATTCAAGGATGTCTTCCATGAATTTGTCCAACCCACTTTTAAAGCCACCCAGATCATCATGTCTTGTGATACTGAATTCCATGGGTTAATTATGCACTGCTTTCTTTTGTCTGTTCTAAAACTCCTTCCAATCAGATACACTAAGTTACCCCTGGTTCTACTGTTTTAGAAAGGGAGAAAAACATCTGTCTAGTTTCTCCATCCCATGCATGATTGTATATATCTCAATTATGCTCCACTTAGTTGCCATTTTTCAAAGCAAAATGTCCAAAATATTCTAGAATTTTATCATAGGGAAGCTGTTCAAGATCACTGATCATTTTTGTTTACCTCTTTTGCACTTTTTCAACTGTGTCTACTAGAATTGATACAAAGGAATCCAGGGATGGAGGTACCATCTGTGTAAAAGCATTGCAATACTTGCAGTTTTATTTTTAGTCTCTTTGCTAGTGCTCCCTAGCATAGAATTTGCCTTTTTACCTTTGTCACAAACATACATGACCTCAAGGCAGACAATTTAGATCCCATCAGAGTACATATATGTGAAATTAGGATTTTTTTCTCAATTTGAATCACTTTACACTTACTTAAATTGCACTGCTGAGATCAATAAGAATGGGAATTTCTTATCTCATAAAATAGAATATTTAGGTTATCCTCACAAAGAAATAATTAAAATGGGTTCAGACAGAGAATTAAAGCATGTTTCAAGGAAGAAGATACATGAAAGCAAAATTGTTTACTTACTGGATGATCCAGATCCAAATCAGGGTCAAATTTGGTGACTAAATGGTGACATAGATCTAACTCCGAAATTTTTTTTGGAAACCAATGAACTGAAATCCAAAGGAAGAAAGAGGAAGTAAGGTGAAATTTAAGAAGAGGCTGGTTAATGCAAAGGCTACAAAGTGGTCTTAGTAAGATATGATGGGACTGAAGGGGTGGGGGAGTTTCCAATGTTACCTAAGGAGAGCAAAAGCAGAAATACAAAATAGTTGCTTCTGTTTATATGAGTGTTCCATGTACTGGATTTATCTGCTTTTAATGGTAATATCTCCTCTAGCATAACCTAATAACTATATGCAATTCTATAATCCTCTTTTATCCCCAATCCTTTACTGGAATGTAGATCAGACACAAATCTCTAGGTGAAAGGACCAATGTTTTTTATTGAATAATATGAAGAAACTCCAATGGAATAACAGAAGCTTTAATTTGGGCTTTTGTCACCTGCCCACCAGAAAGCAGACTGGGAATGGGTGGGCCTTGACCACTCCAATCCATCAGCATTGCTCAGTATTGGATGGTCTAGAATAACCTTCCCCAACTTGGTGCTATCCAGATGCATTTGATTTCAGATCTCATAATCCCAGCCAGCATAGACAAGACCATGCAGTTTTGGGGGTTAACAGAATTGCCATCCTTCAGGAAGTTCTGTAAGATCAGGGATGCAGTCCTCTGAATCTCAGTAAAATTAATACGATTTACCAGTTAAATTCACATGTCCAGAAATGTATGTGGAAAATTAGGTAACCCCTTGAAGAAAATAGATGTATATAGTTCTGAAAGTTTTGCTGAAGAATCAGAAGATTGCAATAAAGAAAGCACCTGAAAAGTGATCTATGAAATATCCCTTGCTCCTAATTCATTATCTAAACTACAAAGTCCTTCTTACACTTGTCTTCTTTTGTGCTCCTTACATCTTCTGACACCCTTTTAAGGGAACTGATAAGAGTGCTCAGCGCTGAGCAATGGAGTTCACATCGCACGAAGTATTCCAGATCAGGAGAACCCTCTTGCGCTTTCTTACAGGGCCTTGTTTCCAAATGATGAATTTTGGCTTCAAAGGTCTTTAGAGACAGAGAAAAGTAAAACAGTAACTGAGAAGAAAATAAGGGGATTTCCTCCCAGCTAAAACAAGGAATGACTATTGCATTAAAAACAAAAACAAAAAACTTTCAGTAAACTGGCTATTTCCCTTTTTTTAAAAAAATAGAATTTTTCAATACAATAGAAGTATTAAAAAATTAAAGGAAAAAAGAAGATAGAAGGAAAGAGAAGAAGGAAACAAGTGAAGAAAGAAAACAGAATTTTGACTTCAGCCCTTCTTTCTATCAAGTAATTGCCATCTTACTCTTTCCTCTCCCTCTTTCACCCTTTTTAATCCCCAAATCCATAAATCATCAGTTCAGTCCTTTCTTCTTTCAACAAAAGTCCATATAGGGCTTTTAGTCCTTTAAAAAGTCTCTATCATTTTTTCCCTGACAATGTAAATTGGCTATTCCAAATACAAAAGAGGAGTCTTATATAGCCACCCACCTCCAAAAAAGTAATGCAAAGAAATTTGCACTCATAGAATCTTAAAAATCAGATTTGAAATGAAACTACCATTCTTTGTATTAGGTATAATTACAGAATATAACAATTAAAATATCATAATTTATTAAGATACCTGCTCACAGCTGTGAGGACAAACTGCACAACATTAAAATAAAAACACACTGTAGTATCGACATCTGATAGGGAATTTAAACTTGGAGAATAAGCAGCAATGGCAAAACGAACAGTATAAATACATAATAGAAGTTTATCTAAATTCAAGTAAGAATGGCTTCCATATATACCATCACACAGCGAGGCAAATACAAACATTTCCAGTATGGTTTCTAAACTTTATTTTACTAAATACGGTAAATCGGTTGGAGTACAAAGGGGAAGTCAGAAATTAAATACTTATCTACACTAATTTAAGTAGGATTTTTTTTTCTTTTTCTCTTTTTTCTTTTAGCATTTATAAATAATACAGTGGAGATATTGGCACTAAGTTCAAAGAGACATACTTTTTTTATATCACAAAAACAAAGTAAAGTACTTTGTCTGGAACGGTTTATCTTTTATTAATGTTATACTGAACATTAATTGTATCACTTTAGTTTTCTTTGTCCATTTATTGATATTATCTCTTCCAAAACTATATCTTTGTTTAAATATTTTAAAAAAAGAAAAAAGAAAGGAGTCCTGAAAGGAAGTTTCCCCCTTATTATCCACTGATCATCAGCATGCATGCATTCGTACAGTGCTTCACACAACCTGTTAATGACCATATATGGAATGAGCTATAACATTTAACAAACTCCAAGAGCTCAAAGTGGTCTGCATAGAAAACTCCCTTGATTTTATCCTGAAACAGCAATGTTTTGAGGTAGGCTGGGCTGAGAGAGATTGGCCCCAAGCCACATAGTGATTTTGCATGACTAGGGTGGACGTGAACCTGAGTCTCCCAAGTCCCAGCCCTACACCCCTCAGCTTAACTTGGGGAAGAGAAGATTAAAGAGAGACAGGGCCACTGCCTTCAAAAAGTCACTAGAAGAGTTGCTGGGAGTTGAATGGCATATTATTATTATTATTATTATTATTATTATTATTATTATTATTATTATTCTGAAATCTGCCCCATAGAAGATGAAGCAGACATACAGTATCTCTTCTTAATCTTTAAAACAGGGCTACGTCCAATGGATGGGAATACCACAAAAGTGCATTTTGGCTAAATATTTAGAGAAATTTCAACATAATAGAGCTGCTATACAGTGGAGCAGACAATTGTAGGAAGTGGTGGCTCTCCTTCATTATAGGTAGTCCTTGCTGACCAATCATTCATTCAGCGACCATTCAAAGTTACGATGGTGCTGGAAAAGGAGATTTATGACTGATCCAGGAACTGATGTCATAAGTTGGGCATGGTCATGTGACATTTCACTTTACAATCACGTCACTTAGCAATAAAGTTGTCAGTCCTAATTGCAGTCGGTAAATGAGGACTACCTGTACGTGCATATAAATAAATGCTAGCCAGTCATCTGCCTGAAATACTGTAGTTAGACTCAATCAGATCACCTCTGAGGAATGTTCCAATTCTTAATGTGCTATGATTCTATCACACTCTTCTGTAGAAGGAGAAAATAGCAGGACAGTGCTTTCAGTCAACAGGTACACCATTTGTGCAAGCTATTGTTTCATGACAACTAGAAGCTATATGCTAAAAAGGTCCAGTTCAAAATGCAGTTCTGTCCTGAACACACTCAATAGCTTTAGCTCACCACTACCCTAGTTGCACTATAAGAGAATACAGATGTGCTAGACGAAGGATTTTTGTAACATTGGTGACGCAGCTTGAGAATAGCTAAAGCTATTAAATAATAATGAATGATACTTACTGTTACATCATATAATGAAATACTACTTTTATTAATATACTATTAATTCAATTATATCACATCATTACAAACATGTTAAGATTAATTAAAGTCTGGATATTTTCAAGACAGCTGCAACATTTTCCGTACAGTTTTTGAACAGCCTCAGCACTATGCTCTGGCCAAGGTGCTGAATGTAAAATGTCAAGAGAAGTGATTTGACGTCAAAGACAAATTCCTTTGGGAACTTCTGATTTGAACCTCTCAGCACTACTCCTGTGTAAGTATCGTTTTCCAGGAGAAGCACACTGGAAGGAAGGAATTAAACAGCCCCACAACCAGTTCTACAATCTTCTCATCCACAAAATCTTCACTAAGCCTAAGTTTACTGTCTGCGTAAAATGGATAAGGAAATAAGTAAGCTTTCTTATTTCCACTTTTTCATTCCTGAAAATCTATAAATCTGAATAGACAGAGTGTGATTTATTGATATTTCTTTGGATAGAATGGCAAGGAGTTCTAACTTCCAGTTATCTAACATACACACACACACACACACACCAAATAACCCCCAGGTTACTGAAAAAAGACACTTAGGATGAAATCAGGCTTGACTTGTGTGAAAAGATTTATGAACTTGGTTCTATTTATTGATTACAATTCCTGGATTGAGAATGCCTCACCAAAATCCTTAATTCGTAGAATATGTCTTCCTACATGAATCTCTGTCCTGAATTCAGCTCTAATTGGTGTATCAGAATCTGAAGTCTTCCTGCTTCTGCCATAGATATTAAATTTCAGTGGTGCCAAATGTTTTAATTCATGCAAAATTCCTGCTCATACTCCCATATCTATGCTAATAAAAGGGTTTTTGCTGCTACTTCTTCAAGAGTTAAATTATCTCCTCCTTGGAGATTCAGTAGGGGAAAGGTTGGCATTTTTACTTAATCAGAGATAGACCAAGGGAACAGAAAGCAATGTCACAAATAAATTCAATTTAGCTCCATGTTTTGTAAATGCATTGTTTGAACGTGGGATGTAGAACAATCAATACCTCAGCATTAATCTGACAGATCTGATTGCATTACCGTTGCTTTAGTTGTATGTAATGTAAAACAGCAGAAGGAAACCAGCCTGCCCACTGCCTTTTTCATCAACAGGCAAATGTCATTACAACCGTCTGTTTTCATATCTTGTACCTGCAGTGCCAGAGGGATCGGAGAAATGAATCTTTCACTGTGGAAGCCTGGTGTGCATTGGTGTTTACTTTCCATATGCACCTTTTCATGATCAACCAAGAGAGCTTTTCAGCTCTGAAAATTTCTCTTGAAGGATCTCATTGCCCTTTAGAGAAATGTCCTTTAGTCTCGCAAACCTTTGCAAAATCAAATCTCTTTTGGAGGGTTATTATTAACTTTATTCAGTTGACTGTAAAATAATCTTAATGCACATCTGTGTGTGCACACACACACACACACGGAGTTCAATTATAAAAATACATACTGAAAGATAGGAGTCTTTCATAACAAATTACCTTTGGACCTTATCATAAGTACCTTCTGCAACATTTCTGAGCTTTTCATAAGAATTATGGAAACAGCAACTAAATTCTCCCCATCTCTGGTTTAGTTATGTTTGCCTTAAAGATACTGAGCTCACATTTTAGTACTTCAATTGTCTTTTCAGTTTGTTTAAACATTTTCCCACTTAAACCTGTGCTGTGTAATTATTTTTACATTTGGAATAGCCTGTTACAAAAAAATAGACAATGGTAATTTCTGGGCTACTGGCATTATTATTGTTGGTCGCACAGTCAGCCAGATGTTTAGACTGGATTTGGCATTTTTACCCA